ATAATCTCTTAATCTTATATTTTATCTATTATATATACTATATTTATTTATCTTCTTATTATTATTATAACTAGCTATCCTATAAAAAAAAGATTACTAATATTAGTTTAATATTAGGTTATAAGGTATATACTACTATAGTTATTTAACTAGGTATATAATCCTATATATATTTATAACTAATATATAGATTAGCTAGCTAGAGATTAAAAAGATTATTCTAATTACTTATATTATTAAACCCCTGTATCTTAAGCTTAAAGGTATAGTCTGGCTATAAGATCTAGGCTTATACGAGCAGATGAATTACCGAGATAAACTAATAACCTACCTATATAAAAATAATAATCATGACCATCATCAAAGGCGGCCAGCTCGACTAAGGTAGGTAGGTACGATGCATGCATAGAGCACCTGCTCTATTGGAATTAAGCTAACAACCACCCTGTTATTGCTAGGTAACTGCCTGGATTTGATGTAGTACCTTCCTTTGTAAATGCCTCTACAGCCTGGATACTCTTGCCGAATTAATGAACACAGACATCTCTCAGAATGTTTACATTGCCAAACTCTACTTTTCTACATAATTCATTTTCTGCCAGCAACGAGTCTCTGCCAGACTCTGCCAGCAACGAGTCTCTGCCAGACTCTGCCAGCAACGAGCCTCTGCCAGCAACCCGGGATCTACCAGCCAGCAGCCCAGTCTCTGCCAGCAACCAGGCTCTGCCACAACCCATCTGCCAGCAACCCGTTCTCCGCCAGCAACGAGTCTGCCGGTAACGAGCAGCCCAGTCTCTGCCACAACCCATCTGCCAGCAGCCCAGTCTCTGTCAGCAACACATCTGCGAGCAACCCAGTATCTGCCAGCAACCCAGTCTCTACCAACAACCAAAGCTCTGGTTAATCCCTCCCGCGTAGAGCTTGTTGATAATAATACCATAGAACTAACAATAGTTACAGTCAAACAGAGAAATCGCCGAAGAAACCCTCCACTTTACGCGGATGGGGGCCATTGCGGCCGTTTTAAACAATATACCAGCGTTTGGGACGATTATTCTCATGTGTTTTCCGGCGCGAGGGAGATGAGGAGGCGCGATCGGGCCCACGGGGCCGAGCAGGGTGCCCTCCTGCCCCTGTACCATGCTGCGCCGTCCGTCCCTGCCGGGGCCGTTCCTGCCGCTTCCTCCACTCGCCGCCGCCAGGTGGCCAGCGAGGGCCACGAGGAGGTGTAATGGGGGGTTATTGTAGTCATTATTATTGTTATTCTTCTTATTATTAACAATACTATCACGTTACTTGCCGCAAAGATACTGTATATTGTGCCTTGATTTTTGCCGCTTGAAAGCCACTTCACGTGGCGGGGAGCCCTAGCAGGGGCCTTGTTGATGTCCTCTGCCAGGCACTTCTCGATGAATCGGTCCAGCTCGGCTCCATCGATGAGCCCCTCGAACGTGTTGCGCCGGGCCAGCGTACAATTAATCACGGCGCGCTGAGACACTCCGCAGTGGCAGGCGACGGACTTCTCGATTATCTGTCGGTGCGCCTCAGCAGAGATGGATGGCTGATATGCACTGGGCAGAATGCCCTGCAGTTGAAGAGGAGTACAATTTGGTAGTTTACAGAAGCAAAGACATTGAGAAGACCAAGGAAATACTGCATATCATTGCTGCGGCACAGAGAATATTGTGTCTTCAAGAAGTGGCCGGTAGACATTGTCTCTAACTATCAACCACGACAAGACCTCCAATCACACCAAGAATTTCAACCACTCATACCAGAGGCTTAGGGAATAATCCCTATTCAAGACGCGAAGGCATATCAGACTCCCAGAGAGTTGTCAAGCCAATATCTTCAGTGTATATGATGTTACGCATAAGCTAAAGTATGTACCCCCGATCTTCCTCCCCAGACACATTGCGGCGGTGAGACCCCCGTTCGGGCTCACGGGCTCGATCTCGCCTCCTCATCACCCGCCTTCTCATCACCCGCCTCCTCATCGCCCGCCTCCTCATCGCTCCATGCGCGACAGTACACATGACAGTAAACGACCCCCACGCTGGTGTTCCATTCACAATGGCCGTAATGGCACTGAGCCACGTGAAGTGGAGGGTCTCGGCCGCGGCTTCCTCGGAGTCTGTAAGTACTGTTAGTTCTATGGCATAAGTATCAACAAGCTCTATGCTAGAGGGACTAACCAGGGGAATGGCTGGGTTGCTGGCCGAGACTGGGTTGTTGGCCGAGACTGGGCTACTGGCCGGTAGATACCGTGTTGCTGGCAGAGACGCGTTGCTGGCAGAGTCTGGTTTGCTCGCAGATGGGTTGCTCGTAGATGGGTTGCTGGCAGAGACTGATTTGCTTGCAGACACTGGTTAAGTAGAAAATGCAGAGAAAGCAAATATTCTGGGGAGGATGTTTGTGCTGGCCCCTTTACTAGTTGGGCCATAGGTAGATATTGCCCACCGGTGCACCTGCCGGGGCCAGCCTCTCCTCCCCTTCCCCTTCCCCCTCCCCATTCCCCTCCTCCTCTCTCCCCTCCCCCCTCCCCCCTCCCCTCCCTCCTCCAGAATAAAGAAACATGTTGGAAAGAAGGAACTACTTTACACCCGAGTGGCCACCGAGGCACCAAAAACGCGATGGTCATTAACGTAACTTCAACAGAGTAGGCGCTGCTCTCTACTATGGATGGCAGAAGCAGGAATGATATAGCATGTCCTCTATGCCTTTGGAAAAATTAGTACATCCTCCCCTTCCAATAGATCTTTCCTTATATTGCGACAAAGACTGAGCACCTACCAGAATAGTGTCGAAACCCTGCACTCACGGCTCAGCTTCCTGCTTGTAGACGGTAGGCAGTGTAATGCATGCGGTTTAGTGTAGGCACCAGCAGCTGGAACTTGCGAACGATAAAGGAAGGGAATGTGAAGAATGTTTTGACAGCTCTCGGGCAACTTGTACTACTTAGGGATCCCGTTTTCACCATGCATACCTACTGCGTCATATCTGTAGTGAATCGAGTTGGTTGCCTTCAGTTCCAACGCTCGTGGCTGCTGTGAGGATACTTCTGGAAAGAAGCCCGCGGTCTAAGTTCTCTGACACGATGCAATATGATTGAGCATATGATGGTTGCGATTTTTTATTTTGGGCTGAGGCTTCTGCTGTGCCTCGGCCAAAGGATAGAGGAGTAATATGACCGAACATATGGGGATGATCTTGATTGACAATCACAAGCTTGGTGGGTGTCTAGATTATCCCTATTTATCCTTGCAAAGTAAGACTCCCATACTCAGATTCAGATTGCTTTAGGATCTTCGCTGAACAATTTCCCCAGCTGTCTCAGTTGCTGCGTCAGCTACAGCAGAAATCACCCTCCTCATATAGTCCAGGGCTATAATATTCTCTGCTGGTGTATACTGATCTGCCGAGCGGCGTCGGGACATGTTTGAAACAGTGCTATTTGATACATCAATAATTGCGGTAGCTGTGATCATAGCTGCTTCTGTCTGTTTTCCAATAAGAGCAATATTTGCAGTAGTGGTTACAGCTTCAACAGTTCTGTGACGGGCTCTCAAAATCTCCGCATCCCCCTCTCCCTGAAGCTGAGATATAGAAGACACATCCTTGGTGATAGCTATGGCGGTTTCAACACAGACGTGGCGAATAGCAGAGGAGAGGGCCAAAATGTTGCCCCAACCACCAGTAGGGCTCCCTAGACTAGCATCAACTTGCGCCATAACTGTATTCACCGTCCGGAGTATCTGAATCTCTTGGGGTTCAGACAGACTGGAATTCTCTAGCGAGGTTTCGATCCCATAAGGTGGCGGAGGCGTAGAAGGATCTGGTCGTGCGTGCGTGGCAGAATCTCGTTGCGAGCGAGTAGGAGGATCTGGATGTATGGTCGCGTGGTTTCTTGAGGACGATTGGGTCATTCGACGCCGCCTAAGCATGTATTCGGCGAAACTAGGTAGCTCGTCCATAATAAATGCTTTTGATTATAGATCGTATTTAATCCCTTGATATTCCAAGGAATTTCGGATGAGCCTTTTGGCTAACGTGTGTATTTTTATAAGAATGACTTTTGGATGTTTGTGTTTTAGCCTCGAAGACCTAGCTGGTTGTAGTGGTGATATTGTGGCAAGTGTCGCTCGGCTGGATGGATCATATAACTACGTTCATATCCGGACAAATGAAGCTTTAAATAGGAATCCTGAAGCCTCTCCTTTTAATTTCAAACTTTAGAGAATCTCCTAGCATTCACTTCAAAACTTAACCGTAGCTAAGTTAGCCCTAGTGGCGTTCTATTGTCGGGCTGGGCGTACTTAACTCTGTGTTGACCTTTGGCTAGCATGGAGTATTTCGTGTTGCTAATGCTTCGGGCGCGCGCTATCTGTTGCCACCCTGCCCAGGCCACAGAAACGAGACACCTATGGGCTATATGCAACTTAATAACCGACGCAGTTATTTCTTTTCTTTCTTTCCAGGCGCTGATGTGGACCGACCGCAGCTGAGCGACAGAAGAGTTGAGACACCAAGGGTCAGTCCTGTTGCAGTTTTAGAGTGGTGGTGCGTATCCTCAACTCGGTACTTGAGACAAAAAATAATCAGGTAAATGAATAGACAATATTCTCTGTATTATAGATCTTTATGACTTTTTTTTAATGTCTCTCTGGTTATTGTTGTTTGCGCTCTACTTACAATTGCTCATCTATTTGGTGTTCATCAAATTTCTGCCACCCACTGCCCAGCTCTCCAAGGCAGACTGGTTGAGACTGCGCCGTTCGGTAGCGCCAGAAAAACGAATACGCCTTGCTGCCTGGTTTGAAGCATATATCATGTGTGTCCATCTGTTATAATTTAATTAATCAAACTATCCAGTTTGCCAGTGTTGGCAGCGCTTGCTAAATGCTGGCAGTCGGACGATTATGCGGCCTGTGTAAATGAACAATCTAATATGCATCCACACCTTGCAGGTCTTATCAGGCTGGTTCACAATTTATGGAGAGACGGCTAAGAAATGGCCGATGAGAATCCATCCTGGATGAAAGAAAGACTTGATAGAAATGGCTCATGTGAGGCCGCATGGGTGGCCACAATGGACAGACCAACGCCCAAGGCATCCGCAAGCACTATTTTTGGAAGCCAGGGTTCGAGAGATTGACTCTGTGATTCTAGGGTCATATTGAGACGCTATTCTCTTGAGGCTTGTGGCATGATTCTTATAGCGCTCAGGAACGTAGAAACATAAAGCTTTTCCAACGGGAGAATGGATGAATAAAAAAGAAAAGATGAACGTAAACAGCGTAATATTTCAACATCACAGGCTTACGAGATTCAATGTTGGTAGCTTGGGGTTGCATTGCATATGTATGCTGACGTTGCGTTCTTCTCATAGGTGGGATGGGAAAATAGCTCTCCCAGCCCCGGTATGTTCAGCTGAACAGACCAACAGACCTGAATAAGGCTGACTTGCTTCCCCTTCTAGAGATTTCATCGGCCTCCATGCCAAGTTCATCTATGGACATGAAGTCTCATTGGAGCTGAACACCCGAAGCATCTGAATTTGAACTTTGCATTCCTCGATAGCCCTCTATGCAACGCAACTTACTCTCTCCATATCGACCGGGACTTACCCAGTGCCCACCACGCCCCGATCAGTTCCATGTTGCCGTAATCTGCGCTCTCCCACTCGAAGCTGATGCGGTCAGTGCCTTATTTGATCACCACTGGGATGGCAATGGCTTCCCGTACGATAAAGCCCCGGGCGACCATAACGTATACTCGGTCGGCGCGATGGGTCGTCACAACGTCGTGCTGGCCTGGCTGCCTGGCATGGGAATAGCCAGTTCTGCTTCTTTCGCAGTTGGTTGCCGTTCAACCTTCCCAAACATCAAGCTCGCCTTGGTAGTTGGCATCTGCCGCGTTGTCCCATTCAAGCCAGATGGTGGCGAAATAGTGCTCGGTGATATTATTATTAGCGATGGACTTGTCCAGTATGATTTTGGAAGACAATATCCAGAGGGATTCGCGCGCAAAGATACGATTTTGGACTCGTTGGGCCGGCCAAGCCCTGAGATACGTGCGCTATCAGCAAGGCTGAAGAGTATCCGGCCCCAGGAGATGTTCCTGTCCAAAGTGTCAGAATACCTCAGTACCCTCGAAAGCCATCCTAAGCTTCAAGTCAAGTATCCAGGCAAAGAATTTGATAAACTATTCAAGCCAATATACCGCCACATCAACGACGAGAGGCCGTGTGATGAGTGCTGCTGTGATGACTACCTTGTGCCGCGTGTTAGGCTCCAGCAATCTGCACCGCAGCCTGCCGTCCATTTTGGCCTCATCGCTACAGGAAACGGAGTTATGAAGTTCGATTGTCACCGAGATTCTATTGCAAAAGACGATGGCGTTATAGCCTTCGAGGTGGAAGGGGCCGGGGTGTGGGATAGCTTCCCTTGTGTGGTGATCAAAGGTGCTTATGACTATGCAGACAGCCATAAGACTAAGATCTGGCAGCGGTATGCTGCGGCTTCAGCAGCTGCAGCCATGAAAGCTTTTATATGCCAATGGGTACCGGCAGGACAACGTTATGACGGCCATGTATCCCATCATGTTGGACTTGAACAGAAAGGTTAGCTTATGTCGAAGCATATCTGATTCCGGTCTGCTGATGAATCTGTTAGAACTACAAGAATACCAGAGGTCGGTTCTTCATATTCTCTACCCTTTTGGCTCCGAATTCGAGGTCCAAAAGGATAGAAACCATGAACGTATAGCTGGAACCTGCGAGTGGTTCATCAAACACGAGCGATTTCAACACTGGCAAGAGACGAAATGCTCTTCGTTACTCTGGGTTTCAGCTGACCCATGGTGTGGCAAGTCAGTCCTTGCCAGATATCTGGTGGATGACTTTTGCTCGAAAAAGAGTGGTACAACTTGCTTTTTTTTCTTCAAAGATGCCCTTCAGGGCCAGAGCGAAGTCACAGACGCACTGCGTTGCCTCCTTTACCAGATCTTTCACCAACAGCCTACACTCCTTTCGAACCAGATTGCGTCGCAAATTAAGGAAGCTAAAAAATCGCTAAATTTTCGAGACCTCTGGAGAATCTTTGTTCAAGTCACAATGTGTGAAGGTGCTGGGAATACCATTTGCATTCTTGACGCCCTGGACGAATGCGAGGAGAGAGGCAGAATTCAACTTCTAAAAGCTTTAAATAAGCTATACAACATCGAGTCACCCAAGTTCTCCTTGAAAATCCTCGTGACCAGTCGGCCATATGCTCTCATCCACCGGGAGCTGCAAATTCTCGTGGATCGTCACCCCAATATCCATTTGAGCGGCGAAGACCAAGTGGAACAAATATCTAGAGAGATTGCTATTACTATCCGCGCGCGATTAAAGGATATTACAAGAATACATCGGCTGACAAAGGGAGAAGAATCAACTTTGATTCAAGAACTTACAAAGCCACAAAATCGAACGTATCTTTGGGTTCACCTTATGTTCGAGGAATTAAAAAAAGCCACGATGCTCACCAAGCATGACCTCATCACACGTATTCACAGCCTCCCCAAAACAGTTGAAGAGGCATACAGTTCGATACTAGACAGAAGCAACGATATTGACAGGACTAGAAAGATATTGCATATTGTTGTTGCAGCACAAAGAGCCTTGTCTCTTCAAGAAATGGCTGTGGCTTTAGATATTACCTTGAATCATCAACCACATCAAGACCTTCAATTACCCCAGAATCTTCGATCACACCAAGAACTTCAACCGCTCGATACAGAACGAATCAAGCGGAACATCAGAGAAGCTTGTGGACTATTTGTCGTTATCAAAGACTCGAAGGTCTATTTGCTACATCAGACCGCCAGAGAATTTCTTGTTAGACCATTATCTTCAGCGCCTGTGGATGATAACCAGCCATGGCACTACTCCTTGTGTCCGATGGACTCAAACAGGATTCTTGCGGAGATCTGCATCTGGTATCTTCTTTTGGTTGATTTTCAGAAGATATATACAGCTGCTGATTTGGAACAAGCAAATGACCGATATCCATTACTATCTTATGCCTCGAGTAACTGGGCTATTCATTTCCAACAAATACCGATGAAGAGCGGCCACAATTTGATTTTTTCCGCCTTGAAACTCTGTTCTCCCTCCAGGAGGAAAATCATATTTGGTTCCAAATCTACTGGAAAGAGGAGAAAAATCTCTGGATTTATCCGTCAGGCTTTGATGCATTGATAATAGCATCATACTTCGGCCTGGAGAGCGTGGTCGAGGAACTTCTTGCTGCGAAAGGTTTCAAGACTCGGTTCAAGACTCGGTTCGAGACTTGGCACGGAGAATTTTCACGGGATATTACCTTTGAAAGACCAGCACTATCGTGGGCCATTGACAATGGGCATGAGTCCGTGGTAGAATTGCTTTTACACCAAATTCCAATGGGCTTGGTAAAATTCAGAGACTGGCTCCCGGGATTATATACATGCGTCAACGCGAAAGATGTAGATGGGAACACCCCGTTGTTAATCGCCATTAGTCACAGCTATGATGAAATTGCCCGTCAATTGACAAAAAAAGGAGCCGATATCGAAGCTAGGGATAAGCATCAAAAGACACCGCTAGCAATTGCTGCTTCTTGGAGGGGCTCTGATGGGCAATGGATCGATATTGTACAGCTCTTGCTAGAGAAGGGAGCTGGTATTGAGGCTAGGGATAAGAATCAGAGAACGCCTCTAGCACTTGCTTCTAATTGGGGCTACACAGATATTATTCGGCTGTTGCTGGAGAATGGAGCTGATATTGAAGCTAGGGATGAAGATCAGAGAACGCCTCTAGCAACTGCTACTTTTTGGGGCCATAGCGATGTTGTCCAGCTGTTCCTAGAGAAGGGAGCCGATAGTAAAGCGAGGAATAAGTATAACGAGACGCCGCTACAAATTGCTACGGGCCATAGGGATATTACTCGGCTGCTATTGAAGAACGAGGTAGGAACGGAGCGACCCTCTAGGTAACTACAACTGCCCGCTGAGAGGCTGCCCAAATGATCACAGCTTAGCACGATGCCGGAAACTTCGTCACTAACATAGTTGGTAAAAGCTCAACATTTTGATTCATTAGAAAGGTAAACCTGTTTTATGGTTGACCATTTTCACGATAACGCCCATCATGTTTACTATAGCCACCTCTAGGAATTCATGTCTGCTTCCCGAGATTTCCTTCCATAATGATGTCGCATGGATGTTGTGATACCGTGAAACCAAGACCAGCCTCTAAATACCGTTTTTGATTAATAATATAAATAAATGAAGACCAGTCCTCGTTTCAAATACTGAAATGAACATAAGGTGCCTAGCATACCACCTTAAAGCTTCATCATCAACCCAAAAGTATGAATCTCTGCACCCTCAAGTATTTTCAGCGTTTATGTGATCCTTGCCCCGAACCCGAATCTATCTCTAGTTTATCCATGAGTTATGATGAAGCTCCTGCCAACTGTCTCCTACGCTCTCTGCGCGATGTATTATGACCTTCACCGGCCCGGCATTCTCTGTATCTCATCCCCTCCTATCAATTCGACTCTGCTACATCGGCGCGCTTGGTTTCGGGTTCCGGGAGGCTTTTTCTGGATGGACCAATGACACGGCTGGAGGGTTGCAATGAGGGGAAAGAGGAGGGGAATAGCTTTTGATTGGGAGACTCACCATCTCAGCCACTGTGATTCATGCAGTGAGATTTTGCGTGAGCGGCTGAGTCTAGTCGCCTTTGTCGCCTTTGATGCCCAGGTGGTTCGCTCCGATCCCCTTATCAGCTGTGGTCGCGCACTTCTTTGTCATCGTCGCATCTCTTCAAAAATATTCATCTCTTTCGCCAAATTCTCTCCTTCAACCCTAATCGCACGTACTGGAAATAGGCCTTGTACACTTTAGTGAGACGATGGATCCCCTCTCAGTAGCTGGCAGCGTTGCAGGACTGGTCAGTTTGGCGGATATGGTATTTCGAACAGCAGCAAAGTACCGAAAAGAGGTGAAGGGCGCTCAAAAAGAAGTAGGCGACCTTCTCAATGAGGTGAAGAATACTACTCTTCTCCTCCACAATTTGTCCCTCATAGCCTATGACCTGGAGAGCGGCGCCGCCCCCGGCCAGAGCAGAGGCCCGAATCTCAAGCTAGAGCATCTTAATGATTGTCGAAATATTCTACGTCGACTTGATAGCGGACTGACTGAGGCGAAAGAAGGCTTCGAGCTGCCGTCTCGTCTCGATAGGCTGCAGGCTCGTTTGAAATGGCCCTTCTCCGCGTCAGAAATGAGAGAAATGATCGATTCGCTACGAAACCAACAGAGGTTTATAAATACATCTCTCACAGCGGATTCAATCACGCAACTCATAGCATGTCTTTCGCAGCAACAGGATATAGCGGGCCGAGTCAAAGACCTTCAAGCCACAACGAGCCAGATCCTTGACATCCAGACAAAAATCCAACTTGATGAACGCAGGAATCGCGTCCTAGAGTTTTTCCTCAAGGCAAACCCTCAGTCGGAATTCGAAACGAGTGAAAAGCTGCGACATCGACTTACTGGCTTATGGCTTACGGAAGGGGAGGATTTTCACCGCTGGTACAACGATCCTGGCACGAGGATATGGCTCAACGGTATCCCGGGAGCGGGAAAATCGGTGATAGCCGGGGCAATCATCACCGAATGTATTCTTCAAAATCAACCAAACCCTGGACGCGCTGTTGCATACTTTTATTGCACTTATCGAGATTCGAGAACGTTCTCAGCGTCGAATATCCTGTCATCTGTTGCTGCACAACTTGCCCGACAAGATGAGAAGGCATACGAATTATTAGAGGCGTATTACAGCGAGCTACATCTGGGGGACTCTCTTCCAAAGAATCCAACTACTAAGGGTCTGCAGGAGGTCCTAAGCACCATGTCTACATTCTTCAACCGGGTGTACATTATTATTGATGGGCTTGATGAATGCGACAACGAAGTTGAGAAGAATATCCAATGCCTTCTCGCACTTGCGCGTGATAGCAACATTAAGAAACAAGCCAACATAGCTCTCTTAAGCAGAGACGAGATCTTCATTCGAGAAAATCTCGAAATTGAGTTCCATGTCATCGAAATAGAAGCCCATACCGAAGATATTCAACTATATGTGGCTTCAGAACTGGATGAACGGATCGGTTCTAGAAAACTCAGGATTAGGGATATGAGTCTTCGGGGACATATTATAGCAGAACTTGTCAAAGGAGCGAAAGGAATGTGAGTAAAATCTCTGTTTTCGATCCATCGCTGCTAGAACTAATCACCCAAACACTTAGGTTTCGATGGGTGGCTTGTCAACTTGATTACCTGTGCGAACTTCCGACAGATGGAGCTCGGCGCAAGGCTTTAAATTCACTTCCACCAACACTGCCGGCAACCTACGAGCGCATCCTGTTGAGGGTGAATGCTCATAGCGAGCAAGTGAAATCCCTAGTGAAAAATAGCCTTCTTCTTATCGCCTATGCAGATTCCTGGCTCGAACCCCGCATGATTTGTGAGGCAGTATCTACTTCCCTGAGCTGTACTAGACTGGATGACGATGAAATAGTTGAAGAGCAAGAAATTTTGAGATGGGTTGGAAGTTTGGTGCGGAGATCCAACGACGGGAAGCGTTTTGAGTTCGCACATTTCACGGTGCAAGAGTTTCTTGAGAAGATTTGCCCCAGCCACTCTACCCTGAGCGCATACAGCGTATCTCAGGATAAAATTTACGGATACTTGGCTTCCATCTGTCTAAAGTATTTAACCCTGGAGAATTTCACACGATGTGGCCCGGAACCCACCACCGAGGAGATTTGGAATCTTCCGCGATTAACTAAGTCGCGGCCCTTTTATCAATATTCTGCCATTTCGTGGCCAAATATCCTGCAAAAAGGTTCAGATGAGACCGTGGACAATGTTTATCTCCAACTCCAGGCATTTTTTCAAACCCCCAAAACAAGCAATTTCTGTCTTTGGGCAATTGAGTTGGCAAGGCACTGCTGCGTTGGGGCCGATTCTGGAATTATTATGCGGCCACATGGCAGTTTCTTCAACAATGGAAAAGATGCTAAAGTCTGCATATCAGCTCTACTGAGGCCAGACTTTACTCCGTTACACATGGCAGCTGCCTTGGGACTCCCACGACTCACAAGGCATCTCATCAACATGGGCTGTAGTCCGAACTTCACTAGCAGGTTTGGAACACCCTTGCATTGCGCTGTTGGGGGCCTTTCCGTTTTTTCCAATTCTACTGTTGTGACGTATCTTCACCGTTTCTCTGGCATCTTGAGTCTACCCACAGGTAAAGCAAGACGTGATACAGTTCAGCTACTTCTCAATGCTGGCGCCAGCCCAATTCCCAGATTTCAATCAATATTTAGGTCTTCAGGCATGCTCGGACTTTCTGCTATCTTTCACCGCACATCGGGAAACTTTGAGATCATCGTCGATCTTCTTCGCGCAGGGGCTATTGTTGAAGACGATGACCTGGAAGTCTTCTCTGCCACCTATGACCAATTTCTTGGATGGTCAGAAATCAAGAAAAGGCAGAGTTTGAATGATGGGCAAATTCTAAAAGTTCTGGTTGAAGCCCTTGGTGCCCCAACTGCGAGTGACGGGGCTCGATTTCAGTTACTCTCCATGACAGTACAATTTATCGCAAAGCTGGAAAATAGACGAGCGGATGGAATACCTCAAGAGGTATCTATTGGCAAAGAAAATGTCGTCTCTATCTCCTCCATAATTCGCAACAATGATGCTTCTCAATTAAGTCGCTTTCTCCAAGACGATAATTTAGACTGGTTAGAAACTACGATATTAAATGACGGGGGAGAAGGGCGAAAGCCAATTCATTTGGCCACACTCGCAAGATCCCTAGACGTTTTGGGTCTGATACTTGAGAGCGGATGCGATGTCAACAGTTTAATGGACGACGGACGAGCGGCGGCAAATTTATGCTGGGAAGATAAACAGGGGGAATATCTCAAGCTCCTGTTAAAGTACGGGGCTTCCACCACCATCAAAGAAGGTGATGGCATATCTTTATGGCATGCTGCTGCCACAAATGACTCCGTTATAATCATGAACATATTAGTTCAAAGTGAGCAGCGGGATCAAGGGTTACGAACGATGTCCTCGGAAGGACAGACTCCGATCTGCGCTGCTATCTCTGCACAATGTCTCGGCTCTGCTCTTGTTATGCTACCTTACTGCAACATGAAAGAATGCTGGAATTCGAACAAATCGATATTCCGCGATGCCACGATACTGGGATCTTCAATCATCATCAAGAAGCTTATCGAGGTCGGTGTTGACTTGGACGGGGTGGACAGTGAAGGGTCGCCGCTACATTTTCTGCCCCACTACCCAGATCCAGAGTTGGTGAAGCTACTTTCTTCACTGTTTGACCTTAATCAGAGGTCGTCTGTTAATCAAAGAACGCCATTTGAACAATATATGTCTGGTACTTTAGGCCTAGGGTATTACGCTTACCCCGAGATATACAAAATGCTTCTTCCAGAAGAGGCGCTATTACAAAATAGGGAAGCATGTCATGTTTGGACAAACATTTGCGAAATCATTGCTCTACCTAGGCAAAGACGGGAAATCGGCATCTCTTGGGGAAGCGAAGTACTGGAATATCTCATCAGCATGAATATTTTGGAACTGTTTGAGACAAAACGGCATTTGTCAGGCGTGCTTCCTCTATGCGATGCATTTCTGCGTGCACTTGCGCAACCAGACTTCGAGGCGGATCCCCGTACTGGATGTATATCCATAGAAGATAAATTTGGTATACTATCTGGCGAATACTGGGAGTATTTCTCAGCCATGTTCATGGTAGTTGTTGAGCAAACAACGCTACCAAGAACCATTGTGGCCAGTCCCACCATTATAACAATCTTCAAACACGCTATTGTACAAAATGATTTACCTTTGGTCAAAATGCTTCTGAAAAATGGCACAGAGCTCCATACTGAAGTGGACGGGTTGAGTCCTTTCGAAATAGCCTGTCTCGGTAGCCTATCCAATGATTTATTTACCTGCATCATGGAGCACTCACAGGCTGATTATCTTCAAAAAGCAAACAAGGCCGAATTTGGGCGCGGGCCAATTCACTATGCGTATTCCCCACGAGGCCTTCCGCGACAGGAAGAGAGCATTCGTGTGCAAAATTTACTCAGCCTGCTTCAAAACATCGAAAATTGCGATATACCAAACTCGGAGCAGGAAGGAACCCCATTATTCAACCATATCGTGAGAGGTTCTATAAGTACAGCTGAAGTTCTTGTCGAGGCGGGCGCAAACCCATGGATAACCTGTGCTTCTACGGGGCTCAACTCGGTGATGGAGGCTGTCCATCAAGGATTCACATGGGGAACCATTGAGATTCTTACGCAGAATGACGCCTACTCACCACAGTGGAAACACGTGCTCAATAATGGGGAAACAGTTCTACACATCGCCGCGGCGGTTGGCAACTGTGATTGCCTGGAAGTACTGCTAGACAAAGGCATTGCTGGCCACTCGCATACCCTCGACAAATATGATAAAACACCTATGCATTATGCAGCGGAGCATGGCCAAACTGAAGCCATTCGTATCCTTGCACAAAGGGGAGGAGATGCTAATATGAAAACAACCCACGGCTTCACACCGCTGCATATCGCGGCGGATCATGGCCATTCAAGTACCGTGAAGGTCTTACTTGAAATGGGAGCTAAGCAATTTAAATGCTCAAATGGATGTACCCCGCTAGTTTATGCATACATGGAGGGTAATCCTGATGTTATCAAGATGCTAACTGCCGAAGCCAATGATGCTCAATCAGCGGATCTGATCACAAAACCAAAGGCACTACTTACGATGTCAAAGGCTTTAGGCGCTGCCGTACTGAACGATGACTATGTTGCATGCGTGAGACTCAAAAATCAAGGTTGTCCAATCAACACAGAAGTTGAGTTATTGGGGCAGCGCATGACTCCCCTGATGCTTGCGATGTGTCAATGGAAAAGCCCAGAGCTGATCAACTGGCTCATTGAAAACGGCTCTCTGGTATCTATCGTATATGACCCCCCAATACAGAATTGCTACTTTTCTGTTCTAGATGTAGCTATTACGGATTCGATTTATGTCGGCTTCCTCCCGCGGCTGATCAACGCCTTTGTTGAGGAGGGAGGCGATTTACTCGGCCTACCGCACAATATTCTCTTCAAGGCGATTGACTATCGAGAACACGGCGCGTTGAAAATTCTACTTGAGGAAGATTTTAAAGATGTCGCCACAATCAATAAGTCAGCGTAAGTAGAAAAATTAATACAACACTATTGAACGTCAAGCTAACTGGCAAGCTTCACATGCCACCCTGAAAAACTCAGCCATGAGGCCCGGTCAGCGATCCTTCGTCTTGTCAATAAACGCAACGAAATAGGAAATTATGGAGCGACTCCCCTCATAAGAGCAGTTTCATCAAGAGCTGTTGATGCCGTGGAGCTTCTGATACAAGCCGGAGCTGATGTCGATTTGGTGAACACTTCTAACGGGGGCACAGCATTACACCACGCAACGTTCCAGGGGTCCGTAGATATAGCACAGCTGATCCTTGATTTCGGTTGCCTCGTTAATGTGCGAGATATCTGTCAGAGAACGGCCATCGATTATGCCTTCATTGATGGTAACTCAGATATTGCCCGCCTACTGATCCAAGCTGGTGCTCAAGTATCAACGGAGAGCATCGCACTGTTCGGTCATCGTCGGTCCTTGGCTCACCTTTTCAACCACACCGATTGCCGAGCTTCACGTTTTTTGGATCTACAAGATCCCCTGCATGACCCAATTACACTGAGTCGCCTTTGGATATCCAACATAACGGCAAATATTCCTATACTGCGCCGATATATGGGCGATGCTAAGTTATCAACTGTTTTGAAGTTACATTCCTCTGGGAAGCACAGCGTTTTATGCCAAGCAATCGTGCTAGGCCTGATGCAACCAGTTAAAATGTTGGTTAATTTTGGAGCCGACGTTAACTACCTATGTGAAGATCACGGTACTCCCCTAACCGTGGCAATTCGTTTCCGTCATTTCAAATTATTCAAGTACCTTTTCCGAAACGGCGCAAGTATGGATCATGGCTCCGAACATTCATCGAATGTTCTTTCGAATGCCGATGGCAAAATTGACCCCTTTATCTTGGACTGGGTACTCGTCACTCGGCATATCGAGCAATGCCGGATCACGTATGAACAGTTCAATATGAACGAGAGCATTACCGGCCGTTGGGCCGGGGTGAAGACAGCCGCAATACGTATGAAATGGGAGTGGGAAAAACGTCGCTCCCAGTCCTCGTTTGAATATGCTTGTCGACTGCAAGCCATCAAGAGGTCGCTTCGAGGCAAAGTCGTCAGTCCCTTAGAAATAAGGCTATAGTCCGAGAATTGGTCTGACTAGATCACGAGAGGCAGGCCCAGATCTGGGGTGGACAGAAGGGAACGCGCCCTCAGTGACGAGCGTTGTAAGCTAATCATTCATACATCGAAGACCTGGAGCAGTTTATTGTTGCCGATGAGACTTGTTACCATGAGAATAAGTAAACTGGAGATGATGATGGATAGCATTCTCAAAGATCTAATCGCGGAAGTGGAGGATTGTGTGATGCTTGGGCCGAGAAAATTTCGGCAGGGGTGGGAGAATCATCACTACAGTGATATCGCATAATGGAGCAGCGGTATCATTCTATCAGAAGAGATCATTTCGCTTGACTGCGATGACTGCCAGATTGGAGAGGAGAAACACGCAAGTAACGGAGTGGTGGGAAACCGGAGGCAGTGGGATAATTGTATGCCAGTAAGGCATGAACCAACCAACACATACATGATCTGACAATAAACCTCATGTCGGACAATAGCGAGAGAAATATCTGCAATCGCACGTTTATTATGTTTCGTACAAATAGATAATATTAAATCATTCTGAGGTAGGGCCAGCTACATAGAAAACGGCTCCAAGCGACCATCGCGCGCAAGCCAATGAGCTCCAGTGTGTGTGATACAAAACACTTCGCGATGTTGAAGAGAACCTAGTGACGGCTGCTTTGAAAAGAAAGATGACCCCCAAGCGAGAAAACTCCAAGTCGCCGTGTCTATTACATCCAAAATGACAGGGTATATCAACCACCCCCTTCTCTACCAACGAGGCTCCCTGGCCTTCTTCTTGGGTTTGATCGGCTCGACCTTCGGTGTAGGGGTATATTTGTCATAAAATGGCCGTATCTCTGGAGAAAGGAGGTCCCATTCCGAAGGCCATTGTTCATCAACCGTGATGCACTGACGGAGTGGGCTGGTGTAGCCGCGAGACTTCATGAGTGCAGCCACGTTTCCGTCAGATTCCCGAAGACTCCACCGCTCATCCTGGACGCGACGCGATTTGCGTTCTCTGTCGAGACTTGAGTTGAGGTACTGGCTGAACCTTTCGATGTTGTGAATCAATTGGCCCAGTTTGGCGAGCTGTGTGGCCGAAATTTCCTCCACTTCTGGCAGGCTATGGAGGCAAGAATCGGAATCACCATTTCGCGAAAAATCGCAGCTGTTTCCGTCCGCGCGGAGGTCGCTGCTGGAGTCTTCTTCGGAAGAAGAGTAACATGAGTAAGACGAGGACGAACAAGAAGATCTTGGGGTGGGAAGCGTCAGGATGGGGTGCAGCTCTAGGAAATCGCTTAGGAGTGTTGGTGCGGCCTGGGAATCGGTCTGAGCACACTGATTTAGAACCCAATGTTCCGTCGCACCGTTCTTATAGAGCAATAGCGATGCTGTGTCCTGACTGTGTGCCTCTATTTTCATGATGCTCGTTGTAAGATCGCAAAGTACTGTTTCTTCCCAAGGTGTAGTGAGGAAATTTGGTGTCGGGATATGTTCCTGCTTCTCCTCGACCTCCACTGTCCTTGTATCGCTACCCGTTGGAGAATCCACGTCAGAGTCCTCGAATCCCCAGTTCTCTGACGAGTCGCTTTCATCACTGATCTTGGGTCCATCTATCAGTTCCGTATCGAGGGGATCAGGTTCAGGCAGCGGTAGTTGAGGTGCGGAAGCGATGATCGTATCCCAAGATGTGCACTCGGCTGCCCGCTGGCGAATCCTTCGTAGGCAATCCAAAATCGTATCAACCCTCCGAGAAAGAAGAGATCGAGCCTCGATGGAGAATTTTGCCGTCCGTCTCGTCCTCCAATCGTATGGCATGGTGTAGAGGTGAGAGATGACTGGGTGTCTGGCTAGATGGGCTTAGCAGCAGCCTCTTGGTAATCTTGGGGCCGGCAAGTTGTGAACCGCTAAGCCATTCACAACATAAATCTGAAGGAGCAAAGATGTTAGGAAGAAGGGAATAAGGGTGGAAGTTTGAGAATGTAGAGGGTACAGGGCTGAAGCAAAAGCAAAAGCAAAGTTTCTGGAGTGTGTGGGCGTGTGACTGAATAGGAAGATCACACGAAAGAGAAGAAGGGAGAAAGGAGTTTAGGAAGGGAGAAAATGAAATTAAGCTTCTGCTCTGAGAGTACTAACCTTGATCAACGAGATGACTTCAAAGGGGCGAGAGAAGAGGCAAAAAGAGGCACATACTTTTTGATACAGCAGCCAGTGGCCTGCAAGCCAGCCTCTAGGCCCCTGTTGTGGGGGGAAAGGTCAGTAAAACATTCGTGAATCACTGCCTGCCTGCGTCGATCAATGTAGGGAATATCAATAGACGCATTGTCTGTTGTTCACGTCATGCCACCACATTGGAGGGCACCCAGGGCAGAGGTGCACCCAACGGCTTGGGTGGTGGGCTTAGCTGCAACAAATAGAGATGGACGAGTACGAGAGGAACACGCTGCATTGCATAAAGCCACTCGGAGCACGTATCATTGAGGCCCACGGCGTGGGTGAGATTCAGGGAGCGATGGACGGGGGTGGGGGAATGCGAGTCTCGCGTGTTGCCATAGAGCCCTGTAAGGCAGGGCAGAGCAAGTCAAAGGGCAGCAGCAGCCATGCCTAGCATCTAGTCAGTAATTCCTAACACCTAGAGCCGAGTAACAATGCCATGGAAGGCCCGGCACTGATGAAGCAAACAGTTACTTGCATGATGGGACAAAAACCGGGCAGATGGGGCAAGAGCAGTGAATCACGGCCAACAACAATGACAGTTGCATCCTGCCATCTCAGTCCAGGCAGCAAGAAGCATGCATAATAAGCCGCAAATACTGCCCAATCTCTGTATTCGGCAGCACGCGGAGTGGGTGAGTTGATTAATGCATCTTCGCTAAAGACTGGAGAAGCATCCGTCCTCCCTATTCGTGGATCTTTCTCATGCATTCACATTTCTGCACTCCAATCAGGCCGCCACGTTTGGTATTGTCGCGAGTTGGAAGTCGGCAGGAATGGACGGGCCTCCATCCGTGTTTCACGAAGAGACACCGAGAGAGATCAGGGGAATGCAAGCTGCGGCAAGTCATGGCTACAAGTGAGTGTTACCAAAGCTTGAGCTCACCCATTGAAGTGGAATCAATTGAGGACTTGAATTCTAATCATCAAAGCGTCGAATATTCATCCATGGTGATGAAAAGCGCAGATTATCTCGATGATTCCGAAAAGAAAAGAAATAGGGTCACGCCTCGTGTGAAGCTGCCCTCCACATTCCAGTTATCCAAGTTCACAGTGACAGCCAGTCACCAAAGTCATCCCCCGTTCGTTGCAAGTAAAATCCTACAAGAGTGAAGACTACAAGACGCCGAGATCTTCATGCACTTCGTTTGTCGCGGGCCTGCTTTGCCAAGCACAATCATCGGACCATCGCACCGCATCCATAATCATCATCATCATCATAATCACCACAACCAGTAGCCCATCACCCAGGCGATAGTTTCAACTTGGAAGAGGCCGCCTGCCCTCGAGCCAACACCAAATATGATGGGATCTTGGTTAAGATATAGCAATACGTGCTATAGCTGTCTCATTTTGGCAGAAGGTCGTTGGCTACGATATTGAATGCAGTTCAATCCACACCAGAGCCTCGACATATTGTCATGGTGACCACTCACCCAGTGCTCCTTCTTTTTCCCCATGGAGGCATCCTCAAACTCACACTCACCTTCACACGCAACCTTGAACCTTCGGAACTACTTTACAACCACAGGTGAGCACTCCATTGGTTGTACCGACCCAAAATGTTGCCAGCCTACCCAAGTATCTATTGTGGCGTTCATACCATCCCACATAACCTTCTCTTGTACGACCAGTTCTCTGGCGATATTCAGTATTCATTAGCGAGCGTCGCGAATCTAACTTGGCCTTTTGTCGCGCCCTTTTTCTGACATCCTTTATGCCATCAATCAACTATCAGCTGAAAATCCCGGAATAATCGGCTCAGACGCGAGGCTTGGCTCAGTGGGATATGTTGTATGTCGGAGAATCCCATCCCAGCCTCGACTCCATCAGGCGACTTCAACAGCTGCTACACAAACATAATTGTCCCAGGAGAGGATTCCAGATACACTGAATGATCGTCGGAACTTGGATCATCCAAACACTTGAGCATCTTCTTCCATCTCCCCGACGATGAATCTTCGTCGGGCGGCGAGATTTCGAGTAAGCCAAGGCGTGAATACCAACCCCGAGGCTTTCCCTCCACCGGCTTGAGAATGAGTGCAACAGCCCCTTGCTTGCACAATGGCCTCGTTTCTATCCACACGGGGAGACAATATACCGACGTGGGTGTGGCAGTGGTGCTCTCGTCTGGATAAAACCTTCCGTGTACCTTGTCCCCTTGGACACAAATCTGCAATCTCTCTCTTCTCTTTCTGACGAACGGGTCATGGATAACAAAGTCTGCCTGCAACACGGTGCCTTTTACCCGAAGGTGGCCATCTATCACCTCTCCCGTAATATCGATGTTTGAAAGAGGTGTTACGCTGGCTTCCTCAACCTCAGCGACGACACGCCCACGCAACAGAAAGTGCGAAATGTCCATGCCCCCCTCTACCTCAACAGAAGCCCACGACCAGGACGGTGCCCTGTAATCCCTAGGCCGGCAACTTTGCCCACCAGCAATAAAGACATACCACAACAGATTACCGGGGAAGTCGCCCTCCCACAAGCCTGCAAAATACCGGTCTTTCAGAGCGGCACCCATGCGTTTGGCGAGACCGCTGATGGCAACAAGCTTATCCGTATCCTTTGTGATCATAGTACACCAATACATATGAATCGTCTGGCGCCACTTTTCGTAGCAATCCTCCTGACTGAGGTTGGACTCTTGCAGATGCGTAAGCCACGCTTGGGAAGCATCAATGTCGAGGTGTTTCACAGAGCCATTGTAAGGGCTTTCAAAGTGTCTTGGAAGGCCATCTGGGTACGTTTCGCATGATTCCCGCTCGCGGCATTCCCACATCAGTTGGTTATATGTGAAAAGCAACGCCCGCGGTGGCAGTATTCTTTCTTGAAGCACCCACCCACGTCTGTTCAATGGCGCGAACAAGGTATGTTTGTCCCAGAAAGACCAAGAAAGCATATAGAAGGTCTCTGGCTTTATTGTGTCCCATGATGTGCGAACTGTGAAGTGCAGCAATTCGGCTTGATCTCTGCTCCGGAAAAGACTCTGGTGGCTGTGTCTGCATGCCGTGGCCATCACGTTGAGTGCGCTGTTGCTGTAAACTTCACCCATGAGCGCCGCCTCTTTCTGCCAGTCTTCCAAAGAATCCTGGATAATACAGAGGGAATCGATCCACAGATAGCGTATTCCAAGCCTCCTGGCAACTAAAACAGCATCTCTGAATGTCTGAGGAAGACTGGCGGATTCAATCTTGTTCTGAAACTGGGCCAGGGTATCAGTTGTAAGCTTGGTGATACTTTTTCTACCCCAGCAATGGCTGAGAGTTGCGTACTCTTCCTTGATGCTCTCCTCTGCAGTCGCAAATAACCGCAAATCATCACCTCCGCCGTAGTTCAAGTCGAGCAGGCGAGTGGGAGAATACGAGAAAGATCTCCGGGATATGTTGCACCTGGCGTGGTTTTCTCGGCAGTCGATGTACCACTTGCGCGCCTGGTTGAACGACCCTTCAGATCCAGTATGAGGAGTATAAGTACAGCGTGCCATGTCATTGCCACTTGGACAACCATCCTTTCGAAGGTCTAAGGAAGAAGTAATTAATCGTCATTTGCGCCCAGACTTCAAGTAAAACAGGCAACACTTTGCGTACGTTCAGTCGAGGACAAGTGAGTCTCCCAGACAAACTGCTCGAACCCATCCTCACCCTCTGCAGACCCTTCCACAGCATAGTAGATGATGATTTTCAGAATATATAGCCCCTCCCGGAATTTCGACAAAAGATGGTGGGAAAAGGGCTCGCGTCCGGCCTGCATCAACAAATGACCCAGCTCATCCCTGCGCAGAGCAGCTCGCGCTCGAGCACAGATGACGCATCCAGAGTTCGCCGCAGCTTCGAAGGACGCGGCGGAGAAGTGGTGGACAGGGCCTGGATCTCTGATACTCGAGGAGTTTTTGAGCCGCTGCTGGCCGGTGAAGATTGGCCTACACTGTGCGCACAGCCTTTTCTCGTCGTCCTGATCAGTCGGCATTATGTCTTAAGCAGATGAGTACCTCGGTGTGCCTCGCTGATGGCCAAGTTTGCGTCATTATCCTCGATGCAGCAATGTCACATCAGCTGTCATCACACGAATAGCCCCATGACCTGACGTGGGGTCCTTCTCGGTCAAAGTCCCTGAATACCGACGAATGAAGAGGAGGCTCTCATCTACACAGATCTTGCCTAAAGGGTGCGTATTTTGGGGGAGTTGGGCTAGCTAAAGGGTTGTCCCACGCATAAGTGTTTTTCTCCTCCCTCAGCCCGCGCAAGTGTTGCACAATACAATGTATTAAAGTAGTCCAGTAACTGGGTGGCTGTAATCAAAACACCCAAGCATCAAACTACCTTTTTTTTCGGATCTGTAACCAGTATTCTCAGATTATTGAGTTACGATAACGGATACATCAGAGATGTTGTTACTTTATTTCGGTTTGTACGACCGACAAGTTCTATTCATCGTAGAAAGTTGTCTTTTCATAGCCGCTCTTCGATTATATATCTCACTTCTCCTATCACCCGCTTGTCTGGGAGGCCAGTGTATATGTCTAACTGTCTCAGTCTTATTTTCACCAAGCCTTAAACTGTCTCGTCGGCAGGTGTACCATAATGCCTCGTGGCGCTCGTCATACATGTAGTTCCGTCGGGATACGACAGGTTCTCGGGAAATCTAGTCCTGTGCTCTCCTCGTAAACGAAAAATATATGTGATAGGGCCAGCCGCAAGCCTCATATACCTCCTTGTTCTACCCCATGCCTTGAGTTCGCGGATCTGCATCCATATTCTTCCTCCTGTCCCGGAGCTCTTCTTTCCGGACTTTGTCCATATCAAGATGATCCCCTCACAAATTCAGTGCCGATAGCAAGCATATTAGCCTTTTCCTTTGATTTATTAACCTTCATACTCTTTCTGCTGTCAATTCGACGTCTGGTCATGTATATTTGTGCCTGTATTAAGCATCCAACTCATATATACTTCTCGACCCCTACCACATACTGTCTGAGAGACCTTTGCAAAAATGTTCTCCAGATGGAAAAGCTCTCCTACTTCCACGCCAGCAACTGTGGCATATCCAAGCAGTAATCAAAGACCTATGACTACTAGTTTCATCAGCTAACTTGGTGTAGATTGGAGCCGATCACACCTAGATAACCTCAGCAAGATTGTCGTGCGCAAGTACGACATCCGTATCATTCCATTGGTTTTCCTTGCCTACACTATATTCTGGCTCGACCGTTCCAACATCGCCCTCGCCAGGGTCAACGGGCTAGAGCAGGACCTCGGACTCCAAAACTCACAGTTTAATGCGTCACTCGCCGTTTTCTTTGCCTTTTACATCCTTCTCGGTATCCCGGCCAACATCCTCTTGCGTAGAATCGGGGGAGGCACCTTTCTCCCTGCTCTGATGGTCGCATGGGGATTAGCCACTCTTTGCTCGGGCTTCGTTACCAACTTTGCCGGCCTCTGCGCCTCGAGAGCCGCAGTCGGCGCCGCTGAAGCTGGTTTTCTTGGCGGTGTTCTCCTCTGGCTCGGCTTCTTCTACACCAACGATGAGATCGTGTCCCGGATCGGCATTCTCCTCAGTAGCATGCCACTCTCCGGGTCATTAGGCGGTCTCCTGGCCGGTGGCCTCTCACGAATCCAAGCCGGCTCCTACTCCCGATGGCCGTGGATCTTCTTCATCGAGGGTGCCCTGACTGTCGTTGTCGGCATCGTTGCATACTTTATCATGCCCGATACACCAGACACGGCTTCATTCTTGACGGGCGAAGAGAAGATCGCTGCCAAAGCCCGCATGATCTTACTAGATCACCGGTCCTTTGCCCGGCGCATCGCCTTCGTACCAAGCAACAGCAGCAGCAACTCCGACATCCCAAAATCACGACGCAACAGCACGCATCCAGAAGCAGCCCGAAACGAAACAGTAACCACCATCAGGTTCTCCACAACCCTCGATATACCCGCCACCATCATCGGCGCAAGCTCAGCCGACCGGATTCACAAGTCGACCTGGAGACGCGCCGTGCTTCACCCCATCACCCTATTCATGACCGTCGGCTGCTTCTTCACCGTCGAGTCCATCTACGCCTACAACCTCTTCGTGCCCACCCTCCTCGTCGAGATGGGCTTCACCGGCGTCAGGAACCCGCTCATGACCGTTCCCCCCAACCTCTTCGCCTTCCTCTACACCATCTGCATAACCCAATACTCCCAGCGCTCCCGCCGCGTCGCCCTACCCCTCATGGTCTCAGCCTGCCTCGCCACACTGGGCTTCCTCTTCCTCCTCATTGGCAGCTTCGCAGGCGGCACCGACGGGCAGGGCAAGCCGGTCATCGTGAAGCCCCTGCAGTACGCGGGCACGTTCCTCGCGGGGGCGGGCGTCTCGGCCTCAACGCCCCTCGCCATGAGCTGGCTGTGTGTCAATGCCAACCCGCACTACGTGCGCGCCATCTCCCTCGGCTTTGTCATCGGCGTGGGCAACTTTGCTGCGTTCCTTGCTAGCTACGCTTACATCAAGACCAGCGCTCCACGGTATGTCCGGCTTCCTTTCTTCGGACTAAGCTATTAGTGATGGGAAGACTGACTGTTCATAACGCTAGGTACGTCGAGGGCCATTCAATCAACATTGCCTTCAACGCATGTCTTCTCCTTGTAGGGGCGGCGAGTCTCTGGTGGATGCGCAGGGAAAACGCCCGTCGGGAACGGGGAGATCGGGATCACCGGCTGCAGGATCTACCACCCGGCGTATCCAGGACGGAGCACGAGATGCTCCTGGGGTGGGATCATCCACGATTCCGGTTCCATATGTGAATGGAGACTGCAGGGGTGAGAACTGCCAAAAAGATGTAGATGTAGGTATCGTATTCTCTTTGCGACGTAATTTGCTGTTGGATTTCAGGTGGAGATGGCGGGAGATTGGGGTCTCGTATCAACTAATTTGATGTCCGAGCCAAAGAGGCATATCATAATCTTTGTATCCATTGAATCTTTTCTACGTAACTTCTTCTCTAGCCTGTCCCTTCCGGTGACGAACCAATAACCTAATCCAAAGAATACCACCTGTCGACGATGGATTTTTTCCTAACGTCTCACGCAACGCCAATCCTCCCCCTTCTATATAACATAGGAGAGTACCTAGGGGGAGGAAACAGGTCTATGATAATGCAAACAAACAGGGTATCCATAATCCGAAAGGAATATCGAACAAAGCCTACAAAAGCGTACAGGAAGAATAAGGGACAGGGGAGCAGGCTAGATGCTCACCAATCTGTCGTTCCCGCTTTGAGCCATCTTCGCCCCTTTCCAAGCGCCTAGCTCGATTCTTCGTCTGGGCGGATACACGCCTCCAACATGATCCTCTCCTTTTCTCTGGTCACTTTATCCTTCTGCGAACTGTCCATGCCGGTTCTGCAGACCCGCGGGGCAAGAATCTCGGCAAATCGCTTCTCAGTTGCGCGGCGTTTTCTGCGCGCTTCTAAGCCAGCGGCTACAGCAGCGGAGGGCTGTCTGCGTAAGCTGAATCTGCGCTGCAGAGTGTTTGCGGGTGCCTGGGACTTGTTGACTGGGTTCAGTTCGGCCGAGATGCGAGCGAGAGCTGTGGTGAGGAAGACGAAGGAGATGTTGTGTGTCGGAGAGACAGTGAGGCAGTCGAGGATCTGCGTCTTGATATCGGAGATTCTAGGAGGTAAAGTTGCTGGAAGGACGGGGGCCAGCCCGATCCAGAGGAATTTTGGGACCAGCCCGTCTGTGAGAGAGGAGATAAACCTGACCAATATCGATGAGAGAGCCTCCAGTTTATGCGACGATGGAATCTCGATGGGGAACGTCTGCAAAAGGGGTTTGTCTGTGTCAAGTGCCTCAGCAAGACCAGCCAGGAGAGGTTCCAGGACATCGTTGGAAGCGGTCCAGGTGAGTGGATCCAAAGGCCAGCCAGGGTCTTTTGGGATCTTCATATCTTCAAGCATCGCCGCATCAGCAATACATCGCTCAGTGAGACTTTCCATAGCGGCGATGATGTTGAAAAGCTCCTTGGGTGCTGAGAACTTCTGTTCGGCGTCCATGGGAATAGAGCCCTTTATGTGCCACTCTGTGACAAAACTCCGAATTCCACCGTCTGGCACGCGAATGAGTTCGTCAACAGACCTGCCGAAGCACGAGGGTAGCCAATCGCCTCGGACGGTGATGAAATGATCTTTTCCATCCTCAACGCGCATGATAAGTACCTCTTCGATGGTTGCTTTTCCGCTATTCAAATCGCGAACGACGCCGTTGGATTTTACATGGACCGTCAAGAGTGCGAAGATGGTCTCTCCAGGCTCCAGGCTCACAGACTTGGCAAGAGGCTCGCCGCTGGTATCAGCATGCCCGGTGTGGTCTGACCGCGCAAAGGCGGTTGTTAGCCACTTTGAGGAAGGCTTTGGCGTACTTTCGGCGTTCTCATCAACACCATGAGGGTTGTCCACAAAAGAGAAAGTTGCCGGCACGCCTCCCGTATTGGCGATGGTCATATAGCGGGTCTTACTTTCGAGATACTGGATGTCACCCATGTCGACAACATTCTCACCCGAATCTTGGGTTTCGGCCACGACCGTGATACTCGGACGCCCCTCGTTCTCAGCGCGGTCTAGTTCTCTGGCTACTTCGGAATGTATGAAAGCTTTGAGCTCGGGGACTACGGCATCATACTGGATGGAGAAGCTAGCGCTGACTGGTTTGTGATCCGAGGAAGTTATGCGCTGGTGTGAGGTGTAGAACTCCAGAGTAATAGGGTCAGTAAGGTCGCCGTCCTCGCCATCCTCATTCTCGTCGTACTCATCGTATTCGTCATATCCGGTAGTTGAGAACTTGTCTGCGGGAACGATATCTTCTGCTGGTTCAGGGGCAGCGTCTTCTCCATCGGCATCGGGGTCATACGTGAAAAGAACGTCTTCATCATCTTCAATACCCCTGAGCTTCATCTCCGCATCCTTTTTCTCGACCTCCTTTGCCTCGGCT